AGGGAGTCTGCTTCTCCCTCTCCCGCTCCCCCCTCTTGTGCTCTTTCTCTCACTCTCTCTCTCAAATAAATAAATAAAATCTTAAAAAAAAAAAAAATTGAAGGCTTCATCTTTGCACTGTTTAGAATTATTAGCACATGCCATATTGATAATAAACACGTAAAATTTTAAATAATGCCATTCTGAAACATTTTTACATATTTTAGTCCTGGAAGAGAAAAACTTTTTTTCTATTTTTCTTAGAAGCTCATTGGCTGACAGGAAAAACAAAATTAGACTAACAATTTAGTCCTCTCGTTCCAAACTTAAAGATATGAAGCACCAGATCACTTGTTGTAAAAGTAACTTAGAAGTCAGAATACAGCATACTTTTATGTGTAGCATTTAATGTTATATATTACAATTTAGTAATTTATTATGGATAATTAAGAAGGCCAGAGAGAAAAAGAAGACAGAGAAAGGCATTCCAGACCTGAGAAGGGGCAACAGATGGATGCAGATAAACCAAGGGAAAACTGAATGAAACATAAGCACACAATGCACAAAAAATGCACACGTCCACACCACATGGGGGTACATCCTTAAAAAAGAGACAGAGAAAGATGATTCTTAATGGGTATATAGTAAATGGTTCATTAATGAGGAAGCAAGCCCAGGACGTACATTTTCATTGTTTTATATCCCCATTTTACAGCTTTCTAGGCTTGCAAAATCTGTGCTTTTTCACCATTTCCAGAATAATCCACAGACATTTAGCAGCAGACCAGAGGCCATTAAAGAGAGGTTTGCTTTCATTCAGAATGAACACAATCATGTCACTATCATAAACAATCAGGTAAATTTACAAAACTATTGTCAACGATCAGCTAGAACCACTTATTTAAATAAGCCATTAGCCCGCGAATTGGATACTAAATAGAATTCTGGCTCATTAACTTTACAGTTGGCCATTTTTCACCACGGAAAATTTGACGGATGCCTACTGATCTCATGAACATGCATTTTCAAGTTCAAATTCATATCAGAAAGACACAAAAACTGTATCTTGGTGTACTTCAAAATCCATTCAAGAGTCTTTCGCCTTCTGCATAAATTGGACTAAATGAACCATATTTGTCTGCCATCGCGGGTGCACACCAGCCCCCAACGCTCCTCAGTACCTGTTGTCTATCCAGACGCATCCTCTTGGCGGCATTCCTGCTTTCACTCTCACAGGCTGAGGCCAAGATACTCTCTGCAACTGCTGAAGTAAGGTGGGAAGGAATAGGTCGAGACTAAAAAAAAAAAAAAGAGAGAGAAACATGAAAAATTATTAACAGACCAATGTTATTCTCAGAAGAGCTCACAGGCTGTGCAGGAGCATCCATTTATTTCAACTGAACTTATTTCAATAAAAAGAGGAAATGGAAATTGCAAAGATGAGAAATGGAAGCTAGTTAGAGGTTAAAGCTATCGCTGCTACACAGATCCATCACTCATTCCCATAGCTCCATTGTCACAAATAGTCAGTCTGGGCCATTAAGCTGGAGTTTGAATAGGCAGTGACAAAATGCTGACTGGGTTTTGTAAATAAAAGAAGTGCTTTAATTCTCTCGTAACATATGACAATGCACAACAAAACAAAATCAAGTGACGAGGCTGAAACATAGTTGGAAAAACTGACAGACACTCAGACCATGTTGAACAATTTTAATATGAAATATGAATATTTGCAGTCAAAGTTGGGACACAATTGGTAGGATTCAAATCCTCTAAAAATACTTTTTTTAGTATATGTGCTGCTGAAGCGAGCACTAAAAATACTTTGTTTAAATACAAACTAAAACGTCAGTTCTGGAATGATTTCAATATAATAAAAGTTTGATGTTTTGATATGAGCTGTATGTGTACCTACATGTTTTATTTATAAAATAGGAGTTAATATTATTAACTTAATGGATACATGTTGGAAATCCGTCTTCTATGTAGCCCACATTGAAATTAATTAACCCACCCAACTAAGCTCATAATTAACTTCAAATTGTTTGCAATTCTCTGTATCATTTGTGATAATCAGAAAAGTTTTCCATTTTCTTTTCCCATAATTACATGCAAAATCATCTAACTGAAAGATGAAGTGCTTAATGATACTGAACAGTTTTTTAATGAAGATAAGCAAATGATAGATAAGAAATAACATGACAATTAAGCCAGATAAGATAGCAAAATATGAAATTACAAAATAAAAAATGTCCTTTGGGAAGCTAGCCTATATAGTAACATGCCACCTTAGAGTTTTCAAAGCCTGAGTCTCAAATATGTATGGATGCCATTTATTAGAAGCCTCTAACGTAATAGAGACCTTCTAATTTTTTTAAGTGAATAGGAGCATGCCTTTATGCTACTTGATTCACTTTTGCTAACTCTAGCATGTAAAATGTGCTTTAGCAAATTGAACCACAGGGTTTATATCTCAGTACTGAAGAACAGCTAAATTCAGACCATGAGGGCTTTCACAGGTATTCCTCAGTGGAATTTGTATATTGTATAACAAGACCAGGCTCTGACCTTGCTTGAACTAGGAAACAATTTCTGTAGCTGCCTCAGCCGATCTCCTCATGCTTCCACCTCTAAAGTAATCTCTGTAGACAAAAGGTAGGAAAGGTACAGGGTACTGTCTCCATTGCTAACCCCACGAGATGCCTGGAAGGATGCCTAGACAACCTTGACAATAAAGCATTAAGATACTGGAAATGCTATTTTTGCAAAAGAAAGAAAAGAGAGAGGCCCTTGAAGTGGCAGGTAAATGCAGTGGCATCATTTTGAGAAGGAAATTAGAAAGCCAGGAGTGTGTGCTGGGAACAGAGAGGAGGATCAAATCAGATAAATAATTGAAAATTTAAAAAAAGTAAATGGCCATAAAGATGTAAATATAATTTCAAAATTCATATGGTTTCTTCATTTCATTCTGTACTTCCCTGAGTATGGATAAGATAATCTAGCTCAGAACCAAAAATATATTAAGCCACAAAATCAGTGTCTCGTGAAAGGGCAAAGCTTTGGCCACAGCTCAGCTCAAAATTATAATCTAAACCACATGGGAATTAGGTACACAGTGCTGTTTTTCCCAATTGAATTATGTTTGGAGGCAAAGGTGTTATAGAAAAAATGAGAATAAGAACATTCCATAATGAAAAAAGAAAAAATTATTTGATTGTAGCTAACATTATTCAAATAGAAGTGACAGTTCACATCATTATAAACTATATTATTAGACCTTTCATCTGGTTCTGGGGACTGAATTAACACAATCTAAATAAAACAACAGCAGCCTCTCTTTTCTTGATCCAATTATTGATAGTCACATGAAATTCAGAGAGATGTATTCCTGCTCTTCATTATCTTTATTTTTCTCCATCAGGTATTTCCATTCAAAATTAGGAATATATAAAGCTATAGAACTTTATTAAGCTGATTCAATTAAAGTAATAAACACACACCTTCTTAAATGCATAAAAGTCTGTTGAACAGGAGAATAAAAGGTAAAATATCCCTGTAATTAAAATTAGCATTTTATTTCAATTAAAACAATTTTTTTTAAAAACAAAATGGGAAATAACTTTCACTAGAACAGTAAAAGTTGTTAGGCATGATAATTTATATGATTTCTTTTTCAAAGAAAATGATAGGGAGAGTTGAGTCTTTTCCAGATATAGGAAATTGATCTTCTCAGAAACTAGAATAATGCCCTGGCTGAGGAGGGCTAGATCACTTTTAAGGTCACTGGATAGCCTAATGTTTCAATATTTTGGGGAAAAAAAATCAACTTAAGATAAAGGAATCATGTAATCTTTTCTAGTAAGTGGGAAAAAAATAAGTAGAAGCAAAGATATGTGATAGACATTGCCAGTAGTTAAATAGTATAATTTTGAAAATAGAGTTGTTCTGAGTTTATGCTAGAATTATAACTTGAAAACTGTAAACAGCCACAGAAATCATTCAGTACAAGTTTCTTCACTAAAGTTTGAAGAAACTGAAACCCAGAGAAGTTAAGTGATTTGACCAGATACAGAACCCAGATTTCATGTCTCCCAATTCTCAACCCTTCTACTCTCTAAATTCTGTTCTATACTTAGTACTTTTACCTAATTTATCATTAATATAAAATATTATAGAAAAAATCTTTACACACACACCCTGTTACGCTCAACTAAACAATAAGCAGACCAAAGCTAACCCTTTACAAGTATGTATTACAATTCAGACATGCTGATTGGAAAGAAAGGCAGAATGAATAAGTCTATGTTACAGTTTAAGAAATAGGTATTTTTCAAAGAACTTACTATATCTTAAGTATATAATGAAATATGTACTTCTAAGTAGAAAATGGGTACCATCCTAATTTAATTTTTAGATAAATATTAATAATACCTAACTCATTCTGAGTGTTAAGATGGCCAGGCATTAAAACAAGCAGCTTAGATTCATTATCTAATTTTGTTTTCCAAATAACCCTTGAGAAAAGTACTTCTAATATTCATATTTTAGATGAAAAATAAATTGAAGTTCTGAGAGATTATATAACTTGCCCAAGATCACACAGCTATGTACGTGGAAACACCTGGATTTATATCTAAGACTGATGATAAATTGGGAATAATTCCTAGTAAAGAATTATTCTCAGTTCACAACTAAAGTCTCAGTAAGCTTAAACAAAGCTAGAGACCTTAAATACTACACACTCCTACAGCGGAATCCATTTACAGCTAACCCTATTTTGCATTTAAGCAAAGAATATATTAGGATCTCACCAAAATCCTCCTCTTAAAGGGACTGAGAATCTCCTAATATATTTTGCTATTGATTCTTTAGAACCCTTCTTCATTAATAGCACAAAAATAAATGTAACTTAGCTCAGTTCTTCATATGTTCTAAATGGATGCAATATAAATTCATAAGAATTTCATGTTGGAGAAACCAGGAGCGCCAAGAAATAACTGTATATGAAACATAAGAAAAGCTTAGTCTCATGCCCAAAATGAGAACGAGGAGCCAGGCAGAGTTCTTGCTTTCCTGTGAAGCAATCTGTTAAAAATCCCCTTGGTTCTAATACTGAGGAGCCAATAATGAATGCCAAAGCTCTTCACTACACACAGAGGTCCGTTATACTGTGCCTGGCTCTAAGATACTAAAAATGAAAGTCTTTTGTTTATTGTTCCTCCATAATTTGGCTTTTATCTATTTCACAGCTCAGGAGTACTTAAGCCAAGATAGTGAGAAGGAAATTAATCAATTTTGCTCCTTATCAAAGCAATGTTATCATAGAGGAATTTAAAACTATTTAGTGTGAGTTTTGAGAACCATCTTCATCAGAACTCTCCTTTCCTTCGCCACATTTGATAGCACAGAGCTTATTCTAATATTGCTGCACTAGGGTCTTCCCAGCAGGTAATTAGCAAAGTGTATTAAGGGCTCTCATCATGGATTCCACGAGGGACAAATGCTGAAAATTCCCTCTTACATCACTAAGAGTGGCCAGAGAACACAAAAGCCTCCATGTAATAATCTGAGAATATTTTGACCAAAAAACCCTCAAATACATAGAATTCAATAGATAATTTATGAAAAACAACACTTCTGGTTGAATTTAGTTCAGTAAATACACTATTTGGTATATATCTTATAAGATTTAAAAATAATGATTCAAAGATGTATATAATCATACACACTACATGATCTATACCTAGAGTGAGATTTGTTACTTACTTCTTACCCTGGAGATGAGACAGTGTGAATCACCTTCACTAATTACCTCTTCGTAATTAGCTGTCATCCTCAACTGGGATGACTTGATCTTTCCCTAGCACTGTTCTTATTGTAATAATTATCTATGACCAAATCAGTGGTGGTCATTTCATTAAACAGATGGCTAAACTGTCGCATGGAACTTTTGGAGTTGAAAAAGCCACATTTTAATTGGGGACTTAAGATGTGATTGCTGTTGGCACAACATAAAGGTGCCTTTCCTTATATATACATGTAAAACCACCACATCAACAAACTATTCCATTTTTTGGTCATAAAATATAAACTAAACAATGTTAGAGTCCTCTGAACTTCTGCCATACATTTAGGATGCTCCAGTTTTGTTTTGTTTTTTTACAATTTTAGAAAAGTAACAAGAAATCATGACTGTAAGACTCTATTCATGGGTTAATAGTACTTATTAGTGGCAAGGCTTGCTAGAATCGAGGGTGCGAGCATTACCAGATCAAGTATTAAATGAGGTCAGATT